GCGTAAAACAACAGCAAAACCAAGAATCATACCCCAAAACCAAATTGAATCAAACTTTGAACTTCAAGTTTCTAAATCGCCACAAACGTGCCGAATCATACTTAGACTACTCGGATTGACACCAATTTTTGCGTGCAAGTCTTAAATGACATTACAAAACTATTTCCGGTCTCGAAATTTCATTCGGACCTCGGTATCACCAAAACCTACTCCAAACCAAAATTAAAGAACTTCAAAAACCTTCAGAAATCAACTTTCACTATTAGGCATTGAAACGCTCCCGGTTCACCCAAAATCCAATACGAACATATGCCCAAGTCCGAAATCATCATACGAACCTATTGGAACCGTCAAATCCTAATTCCGAGGTCGTTTACCTAAAATATTGACCAAAGTCAAACTTGGCCTTTCAAGCCAATCTTAAGGAACTAAGTGTTCCGATTTCAACCCAAACTCTTCTAAATCCCGAACCAACCATCCCCGCAAGTCATAAATTAATAAAAGCAAGTACGGAAAGTCTTATTTAGGAAAATGAGGTTCTAGAAGGCCAAACGACCGGTCGGGTCGTGACAATTTGTACATAAGAAAAAAGTGTATTAAAATAGAGTTCCGGAAAGTATGTCAATCTTGAATTAACTGGGGCACAAAGTTACGACAGTGCAGATGAGTTTTGCGCGATTTACTGAAAATGTTCTTCTCGAGTTTTTTAAATAACTAACTGAAGGTGAATTCGAATATCTGCTAGTAGATGAAGTCCCACATAACAAGAACTTTAATCAGCAGAAGAGCCATGTAAGTTGAGGTTAAAAATTAAAATGCTAGTTGAGTTGGTAGAAGGTAGAAAAAATTGAATCTGGTCAGGGTTTAATTTGTCAAAACAGGACTTGCAGGTTGCAGCTATGCACAACTTCTTCAAAAATCATATCCTGAGTTCCAAAAGTATTTATGAGCCTTTGAAACGTGTCGCAAAACAAGATCTCAATCAAGCAACCGGGGCAGCAATACAAATGAGCATTTAAATGAACTTTCTAGTTGTTTGACCTATATCTGTTAATCGGGTCGGGCTGACCTGTTTACAATTCGGTTCAGCTCGGGTCAGCCAGGTGCTGTAGCGTGGGGGGCGGACTGGGACGGATTGGGCGGGGAGCGGGTTTCAAACGAATAATTTTTTGATACCGGTGCACCGAAAACCGCTAAGCCCATTAACGGGCTACAGCCCAGTTTTTAACGGGTTTTTTTTTCTGGACCGTTGCCAACGATCAAATTCAAATATGATTGTTGGCCAACGGCCCTTTTTTTGCAGAAATGGCCATTTCGACCTACCCCCTTAAGAAAATAGCCCCCACACCCCTAATATTTGATAAATTATAATTTTAACCTTTTAAAAACTATAAATAGCCCCCCTTCTTCTTCATTTTTCCTCACAATTCACTCTCTTACTACTCTAATTCTCTCAATTACTTATTATTTCAAGTTTCATCAAATATTTAGTTTAGCCATTACAAAATTATTATTATCAAATATCAAGTATTCAAGTAAAGTGTGGTATCAACTCAAGTATCGATCTATCAATTGAAGTTTGATTTTTTATATCAAATTTAGTGCGGCATTCGGAATCCCGGTACACTCGTTCCATATATTTCTCTTCTTTGGTGTACACTTATTTTATTATTTAGAATTATTAATTTAATTTACATAATAAATTTATTTAGAGCAGCCAAAAAAACGTGCACTAGTAGAGGTGGTAGTAAGAAAACTTCCAAAAGATCAAGAGGTGGTGCTTGTTCTTCTAGTAGCTTTACACATATTTCTGAAAGTTCACCTGAAAATTTAAATATAGATTATGAGCGACTTCAAAAAAATTATGGTATAAATGATGATTTAGATGATAATTTAGATGATATTCCATCACCTGATAATCTTGAAACACCACCAGCTACACCTGGTAATGCTAGTCAAACTCAAAATATTAGGGGTGGAAGTTGTGGTAATACAAGTAGGCCTCCCCTCCCTATTAAGAAGAATCGAAGATTAAGAAGTAAGTATTGAAATTTTTTTGACAGACTAGAAGAAGATAAAAATTATGTAAGATGTAGAATTTGTAAGGATATTTATAAACGTGAGACCGGTAAGGGAGAGGGAACGGGTCAACTTCGTAGGCACATGGTAGACAACCACCCTCTTGATTGGGGAGTAAATGAGGAAGATGGGCAACAAAAATTTAACCCGGGTACTGTAGGGTTAATGGGTAAATACGATATTAAGAAAGATCGGGATTTTTGACTGTTACATGCCATTGGATAGATGATAATTTTTGTATGCAAAAACGTATTATTGCTTTTAAATATGATAAAAACAAAGTCAAACTGATGCATTTATAAGTAATCCATGAAGTTGATATATTTTATAATCTTGCAGAAAAAGTTTTGTGTGTGTCATTTGATAATACTTCTAACAACAATGCTGCTATTACAATATTAAAATTGAATCTACACCCACCACTTCCTGAAATATTTCATGTTAGATGTGCATGTCATATTTATAATTTGATTGTGAAGAGTGGACTTGAATTATTTAGAGATGATATCACTTTAGTTAGAAGAGTTGTTGGTGTAATTCAAGGAAATAATAGAAGTGCTAGATTAAATGCATTTAAAGAAAAATGTGTACACTATGGACTAAAACCAAGACTCATGCCTGAAGCAATAGTTACTAGGTTGAATTATACTTATTTATTCCTAAAATGTTATTATAAATATAGAATGCCTAAAACTAAAGTTGCTAATTCTCATTGTACTTATCCTAGCCGTTTGTTAACATCTAGAACTTGGGATGTCATTGAAGATGTTGTAAATTTTTTACAAAAGTTTATGTGGTTACACTTGAGTTTTCTGGAGCTTATTATCCTACTATTGCGAATGGTTTAGTTCATATTGCTGAAATTTCTCTTTTACTACATAATTTGAAGAAGAAAGAAAGATATACTTCTGTTGTTGAATCTATGCTAGATAAGTTTAAAAAATATTTCTACCCAATTCCCCCTATTTACCTAATTGGTGCTATTTTAAACCCTTCTATCAAAATGACCACTTGTCGCCAATTAATCAGTGCTTTATATTCTTATATGGATATTGGACCAATTGAAACTCCTGATATTGACACTTGTATTTCTGATCTACACAAACATTTAAAAATATTATATAATTATTATGCTAACATTGTTGATGCTTCTTCTACTGTAGATGTAAATATTCCTTCAAGTTCAGTTTCAACATTTGGGACCAGTGCTTTGGATGATAATGATGGTGTTGAAGATTATTTGATTTGGTCTACACTAGGGGAGCATCAACAAACCAGTAGCAGGAATATTGATGAACTTCAATTCTACTTGCAAAAGTCAGCAGAGCCCCGCACAAATGAATTTCTACTACTGGGTTGGTGGAGGAGCAACTCAAATCAATTTCCTGTTCTTTCGGCCATGGCTTGAGACATGCTAAATGCGTCGATTTCAACAGTCGCATCAGAGAGCGCATTTAGCCAAGCAAGGCAGCAACTAGGAGATACCCGTCATTCATTGGGCAGCAACGCTTTGGAAATTCTAGTGTGCTTCAGAGATTGGATAAGATCAGAACGGCGAAATCAAGGGCATGACGAGGTAGATGAAGCGGAGGACCAAGAAATTGGAGATATAATAGTTTATGGTTCTAATTCAACCAATGCCGGAAACCAAGAACCTCATGTTGACATGGATGAACTTACAAAAATGATGCAAAGCATGTGATGTACTATTTCTTTTTTTATAATTGTTGTAAACTTTTAATTTGCAAGTTCAAAAATAACAAAATCAAAAAAGAACTTGCAACTTAATTTGAAGTATTATATATTATTCAATAAAAATATCAAATGAAAGTCTTCGGAGCTTGATCCTTACATATTGCCTATTGGTCTTATTAAATAATTTTTTGTAGCCACTTACTTTCAAATTTTAATTTTAAAATTATAAAATTCAAATTTCAAATTTAAAACTTTAAACTTCAAAGTTTAATTCTAAGTCTTAAAAGTTTGCAAATACTTAAGTATCAATAACATTGAATAAGAAAAACAAAAACAAAAATTACACGGCCCGGTCCAGCCGGCTAAGCCCGAACCCGGACTCCCAGCCCGCCCGTTAAACACCCATAGTTTGACCTAACAACCACATTATTTTTTAACTAATGCGCTCTTTGCGTCTTCAATAAACCTTTCAAAGTTATTATATTTAATAAAAAGCTTAAATATGGACCATAAAAGAGGTGATATTACCCTATTCTTAACACGCTAAATGAGAAAAAATATAGTAAAAGCTTACTATATAGTATATACTTGGTGGTGTTGATGCCAACACGGGCCCAATATTGTAAAAGTTGATATTATTATTTTTCATTAACTTTATTTTGATATGAATGACAAAGAAAAAAAATAGATGCACGTAAATTACTACCAGATCAGATATAGACTACATCGCGTAACTTCATTTTGAAATGAAATGCCAAAAAGAAGAATAGATTCATGTAAACGATCAAACCAAATCAGATACAATGTCATTGGATATCATTTTGATACATTTTGAAAAACAAATATCCACTCGTAAATGTATGGTTACAAAATGGTACAATATTTATATCCATGGGAGCATAATAACAATGTATGTACTCGACTAACAATTTAAAATACCATATCTTCCATTATAATCAGTCACAATAGTAATAGAGGCAAATTAGGCAGAAGCTTGCTCCGAGTTTAGGCTCGACTCTTGAGGATCTTTACGGTCTTGCAGGTGAAAACAGGGTCATTTCTTCTATATGTGACCTCTATTCTTTGAATGCCCATAATAGCAAAAGACCAATCCAACCTTCAAGGTAGCGGCAGAGCAAATATTTCAAGAAAATATGAGAACCAAAATCCATGAAAGAGATACTTGGAATGAAAAAGTAATTAAGGATAAAATAATGGGATTTTTACACAAATAGTCGGCCATATTAATTGTTTACTCTTTCTAGTCATATACATAGATTATACATTGATTATACATAATTATACACATGTAATACATATATTATATGCATTCACCGGCTATTTTTAGTTTAAGTGGTAGGATTGGCGGCTATTTATAGTTTGCGGTCTAAGTAGTAGTTCCTTACCTGTTTGACTTATATAACTATCACTTATAAAATAATATCACATTAGAACATGTATCTCTTTGATTCCAAGCAGTAGGTAGTTAGCACAGAAACCTATAATTTCCTACATCAAAGCAAAAGCTAAGAAAATTTTTAAAAGTATAGTCAGAAGAAAAGATGACCAACTCTATATCAAAATGTAGAAAGGGCCACACAAATCATTCAGAAACAGAATCTGATTGTTATTTGATCATGAAAGCATGAATTTGCATGCACGAAATAATTGAAACTTGATCCACATCCATATGTCAACTTGAGGCATCATTATTTCCCTAAAATTGGAGAATGAAACACAATTTGGAAGGATTTAACTCACAACAGCTTCATTTCCTTTTCAAACTCTCTCAAGTTACATAGAAAACCAAGTTATTACTTAGTTTTCAGCTTAGCCTCATTTGAAGGAGCCTAAAGTTTCTGCAAAGAACCAATAGTTATTCAAAACAATCTCGCTAACAATCTATGTATTGTCCCTGATTTATAAATGTGACACCATAAGGGAAGAAAGAGTAATCTTAAACTACGTAGACTACTCAACACATTAACTCAAATTAAAAAAACTTAAGAGATGGAAAACAACAGAGGTCCATTCCTAAGAAGAAGTCCTTTCTTGCGAAGAGTATATAGTTCTTGAATAACAGATATAAAGACGACATATTTCAGCTGCATTTTTCATGAGTCAAGTGTCACTGTGTTTATAAATTAAGTTGTCATTCGTATTCCACCTCCTGCTAAATAAATTAAGTTGTCGTTCTTAGTCCACCTCTTACTATTGCGTCATTTGTAAAGAATACCTTACTACTCAATTCCTAGAGCTGCACGAATCTTAGGTCTATATGCGAGGTCGGATGATTCAAAAGTCAAAAGAATGGTTTACCTAACCACAACTATTCGTAAATCTATCGCTCATTAAATGGCCAAAAGTCTGGTAAAATTGGACTTATTAGAGGAAAAAAAGAAAGAGAAAACATTAACTGAGATAACTCGTGTGGAGCTCGAGTCAAATAGATAACATGTAAATATACTTTACTTAAAACTAGAGAACTTTTGAATTCAAGTACCTGGAATCAATTGCTCCTTCTGTATATGATAACCATTATGACATTATGCAATTAAAACAAACATCATATGGCAACAAACCCTCCTCAGAATCTCTCATTCCCTCACTCAATGTTCCTTTTTTGGATCTATATAGTGCTGTTTTTGTTCCACTTCTTGAATCAGCTACGCTTTATCTTCTTCTTTACTTGACACCATATTTCTTACTAAAGTTGTACTAAAGTAGCACACTTCTTGAATAATTAGGGGATATTCAAATCTTTACATGAAAATGTTCATAGCTTGAGAAACAAAACCAACAAACAGGGCCAACCTAATTTAGCTTATCATCTGAGCAATTGATCCTCACAGAACTTCACTAAATATAGTTTAACAACTTGGTAGGAATTCATAACAAAGAATTAGAATATGTTATGGAGGACTCTATAGTTCAAACATTATTCGTTGGTGTACAGGACAAAATTTGCCTTCAAAATATAACTACAACAGATTGTACTTATAACCAACATACCTCCTCAGGACATTCTCTGCTACAGGCAGCACATGCATTTTTGTGCTTCCAAGTTTCTGTCACCAGAAAAGTGAAGCATAAACAGTTTTAAGATGACATCATATGAAAATCAGAGCAATGGTTCATGTATAAAAATCAACAAAAGAATAAGATAAAAAAGTGAAATTAAAAATAATTAATCAAGTTTAAGTAAAGAATGGAAATAAAAATACAAAATAAGTAAATGCTATCACAACTGATAAATTAAGCGAGGACCTTTTCTCGAAAAATCCAATCAGGATATTTAGCTACTGAGACTTAAAACAACAACTCTCAAGGTCTCGACAAACAGTCTGTTATCCTTCAAGCATTTAGAAAGCTCTGTCCTTCTTCCTCAAGTAGTTGAACATTGTATTTTAAGAAAATCTCAGAGCTTCAATTGTTCCTCTTACTCCATTGGAGAGACCAAAGGATCCCAAATACTTCTTCATCAACAACAAATTTAGAGTATCATAAACTATAACTTACAAATAGGTTAAAAATGTGCGTTGTTAACCAAATTAAACATTAAATAAATTTATTGAATTGCAAACCAAAACTAATTCATCGATGTACATACATTGGTTTCCAGCAAGAAAAGATTTATATTCTAATACCACAAACCTAATTTTCAACTTTTTAGTAGGTGAAATCACGATTTGCCGAGAACAACCTATCAGAACTTACTTAAGTTATCACCAAAGCAAAAAGGCTTATGCTGGCCGTTCATCCAACTATCCAATCATATTGGCTACAAGTTCATCACACAACATACCCAGATAATGATTTATCAGCATCATTGCCCCTATTGTAAGCCTAGTTGTTTCTTGTTTTAGTTAACTCTTCAAAATTAGACACACTGCCTTACTTCTGGTTTTTAAAAGCTAAAAAAGCTCATTTGCCAACTTCAATTTAAAACACAAGTAAGCTAAATGTTAAACAAAATAATTGACAAAACATAAGTTCATTACTGACGTTTGGAAATTTTGTACACAAAGCTTTTCTCCATTCTATTTGAGTTCTTTTTTTATAATTGATAGCTGCAAGATTGAAGCAAATTAGTCAATGAGTATATGCATGTGCAAAATTAGTTAATATTGAGCCAAAGGTACATGAAATTATATAATAGCCTTCAGTAAATTCAACAGTTTATCACTGTCCGTGATGAAGGTCGATGGAGAAGAGGAAAAATCCCTTAAGCAATACCTTTAGAATTAATTGTGCCTTTGACTCTAAATTTTCCCTCACACTTTACTTTGTAACCGCAAAAGATCAAATCAGATCAGAAAATGAAGCCCTAAAATGGATTCGACAAGAATAAGAAGAGCTGAAAAAATTTGAAAGAGGAGTAGACCTGAAAATTACAACAACAGGGTGAGAAGATGAAGAAAGCTGAAAAAACTATTCAGAAATGAAAGAGAACTCTATGGTGGCTATTGGAATAAAACCCATGTAGAATAAACCTCCACTAATAACTCAGCTTATACGTTATCCCAAAAAAAAAGAGCAAATGAAAATATTCTAGAAATCAACTAAACGCTAATGGCCAGAGTGAAGAAGAAACTAAGGAGAAAAGCTGGAATAGAGCAACAATCGAGCAGAAAGACTTAAGATCAAACTCAAATTTCAACTCAAGAAGGGATTATCACCTGGTTTTTGCCCTTTTTCGGTGCTACACTTTGATTATGATGAATTGTTGTTGCACTTCTTTTTCTCCGTGCACTCTTAGAAAATTCCAGATTGGAATGTTGAGCAGAAAGAGAGAGAAAAGGGAATTAAGATGTTAAAGAGAAGAGATGCAAACACAGTTTTACCACTCGATTTAACACACACTTGCCATAAGATTGCAAAGTTAAAAATCATATAGAGAACCCCAAAGAAGATAGGGCAGAAATTAAAAGAAGAGAAAAAGGATCTGGGAAAATCAGAGGCAAAGCACGAGAAAAGAACCTACAACAATCACTCAACTTCAGAATCGAAACTAACAATGATGCAGAGAACCTAGAAGAAACCCAAAATGGAAAAAGAACGAAGGAAAAAGTAGAAAAAAGATATGTGCAAAATTGATTGAAAGCATACCTGCGGCTAGATTTGTGCGCGAAGATCTGAGAATCACTCTCAAAATCTGAATTAAAGAAAACCTAATATCCCCTATCTTGTCTGCTAAAAATACACGTGGAGCCATTTATAACTTACGCGTAGAGTTTGTATAGACAAATGTAGCCACGTATATGATATTGTAAGAATTGATGCGAAATGACTAATGTACCCTCTAGCTTTTTAAAACTGACATGAAACACACATGTCGAAACTCTTTCTCTTCTAATACTATATAGTAATATAGTACTAGTAGGTTTCTTTTTTATCGACATATAATCAATGACGAGGATTATGTAATTTAGTTACGCTCTGGTCGGATCATTGTTACCCATTGTTTTATAATGTATCGTATTGTACTGTATTGTATCGTATCATTTTATGAATATAATGTTTAGATAGACTGTATTATTTATTGTTGTTTGATTTGATTGTATCGTACTGTACTGTAACTTATAAGTTTACTAAAATACCCTTAATTGTTTTAAAGCTAATTGAAGATAAAGTAATTAGAATTAGAATTACAAATCAAAGTAGAAGAAAGAATAAAATAAAAGTAAGGGAAAACCTATACCTGAAGAGTTTGGAAGTAGCAGAAGGAACGAGATTTTCACGTTATTAGACTTCACGTACATAGGTTATATTTGGGATGCTGTCTTTGAGAATTTATATAGGTTATTAGACTTCACATGGAATTCCATTATAAAATTATATGAGAAAGAGACTTTACTATTATTTAAAATAAAAAAGGTAAAGTGTAAATAGAATTATAAAGTAATAAGTTATGGCATAATTAGAAAGAGAAATAGGAAACAATCTCACCACATTAAATCGATTGTTTAAAAAAATAAATTTTTTTATTATTCCGTAACAATAAATTTAACAATACAATACAATTAATTTTAACTAAACAAATAAAACAAACATTATTTTGGAAAACAAATACATACTGGGTAACAACAATGCAAAGAAGCTCTTAGTCTGTAACTGTACATACGTGGTGCGAAAGTTCAGAGAAATGTCGAAAAGTTGAAGGAAACTCGAATTCCTATTGGTTAGATGACGCACTGTGTTACTCACAATTTCCTCGGTTGCCTTGTCTTTGGACCCTTAACCTCTAAGAAATACGGGGTGACTATTAATTGGCCCCATTCACAGGTCCCAAAATCGTAGCTGTAGCTTTAGTTCCCCCACCCCTAAATCCCCGTATTTTTCGTCGAGTTTTGGTTCAATCATCCCAATCTGGGTTGTAGAATAGGCGATGGTGGGTGACATCGATGATATCGTTGGACACATCAATTGGGACGATGTAGATCATCTCTTCCACAACATTCTAGAGGATCCCGCCGACAATCTCTTCTCTGCTCATGATCCGTCGGCGCCGTCTATACAGGAGATCGAGCAGCTTCTCATGAACGACGATGATATCGTCGGTCACGTGGCTGTCGGAGAACCTGATTTTCAACTTGCTGACGACTTTCTCTCCGACGTGCTAGCCGATTCTCCTGTTCAGTCCGATCATTCTCCCTCTGATAAAGTCATTGGATTCTACGATTCCAAGGTTTCAAGTGGCTCCGAGGTTGATGATGACGACAAAGACAAGGAGAAGGTTTCCCAGTCGCCGATTGAGTCTAAGGACGGCTCTGACGAACTAAACAGTGATGATCCCGTCGATAAAAAGCGCAAGAGGTATCTCTCTAAAATTTTGGCTTTTTTTTTTGTAATTTATTCAACATAGTTTCCTCTACCTTAAATTAAAATGGCTCTGTTTATTTTGGATAATAATAATATTTCCTCTTTGCTCAGAATTCTAATTTAGTGCAGCTCATGCTTATTAAATAAAAGGATCCTCTTTTACTGGTCTGATACTGCTTGATGTAAATAATTTGAGTTATGCATGGTGACCCAAAAATCCTTTGCAATTGTTTTTCTTCGTTTCAATCCTTTTGTACAGATAACCAGGGTTTACTTTCTTTTGCTATATTTTGGATGTAATCACAACACTTTCTTAGATGCTGGTTTTGACATCAATAATACTTACTATTTCAAAAAAGAAAAGCTATTTCTCTTTTTTTTTTTCAATCAGTAGTAGCTGATTATGCCATCCCACATTGTGCCTTCTCAGCTGATTTCTAAAGGAGTTTCTCTCTATAAGATTACAGTAATTTGACATAACAAATTGATGGTGGTAACTGCTGAGTCTGCATTAGCCATTCAGTTCAGTTTATAATTGATTTTGGGCTGTGTTAGAACATAACGTTCTTTATCCATTGATTATGAAACAAAAATCTGATTCTTCTTTCCGAAGTCTGATTTGTTAATACAGATTTTATCAAAGCGCATGATGGTTCAATGTTTCAATTAGTTTGCCACTTATGAGACATGGTTGCTAACTGTGCGAATTTAAGCTACACCGCCTTCCTGGGGTACGATGAGTAGTTGAAGCTGGGGAATACACACCACCAAGTGGGGAACTTTGCTGACAAAGCAAACTGGTGCTGGACTTTTTCTTAGAAGAAGAAACCATGTTTCATAAAGATTGCACTTATTTAGTGTGTGATGTATACTATATCCGGGAAGAATGTGTAGTTCATCATGTTTAAAATTGGAGATATCATCATGTGCACTTATCTAGACTACTTTAATTCATCCCTCTCCTCTTCTCCTTCAAGATGATAATAGGTTTGCATTTATGTAATCTGTGATGTATATAGCAGCTTAAAGAAAATTTGAGCAAAAAACTTAATATTTGATCTTCCAGGCAATTGAGGAACAGAGATGCAGCTGTCAGGTCACGAGAGAGGAAGAAGTTGTATGTTAGGGATCTTGAGTTGAAGAGTAGATACTTTGAATCAGAGTGCAAGAGGTTGGGGTTAGTTCTCCAGTGTTGTCTTGCAGAAAATCAAGCTTTGCGCTTCTCTTTGCAGAGTAGCAGTGCTAATGGTGCTTGTATGACCAAGCAGGAGTCTGCTGTGCTCTTGTTGGGTGAGGATAAGAAAATTCTTGTCATTTTATTGAAATTCATTCTTCATATCACTTTTTGCTGCCATAAATTTTTGGACCCGGCTTTGATTAACGCCTGCAGCAAGTCTTAGACTGGACTGGCTGGCAATTTTTGTAGGTTGCCATGCTTGTGTATTATAGTGAGGTCCATTAATTTCTCTCAAGTGCTTATATAGCCTTTATTTTAACTAATGCAACGTGAAATCTGCAGAATCCCTGCTGTTGGGTTCCCTGCTTTGGTTCATGGGCATCATATGCCTGCTCATTCTTCCCAGCCAACCCTGGTTAATTCCAGAAGAAAATCAACGAAGCAGAAACCACGGTCTTCTGGTTCCAATAAAGGGCGGAAATAAGACTGGTCGGATTTTTGAGTTCCTGTCCTTAATGATGGGCAAGAGATGCAAAGCTTCAAGATCGAGGATGAAGTTCAATCCCCATTATTTGGGAATTGTGATGTGACTCATTGCGATCAAATCCTTTCCCTTGGTGGATCATGCTTCCTTTGAGTTCTTTAGTTTGTATCAATAGAATTTCTGTATGAATCTTTGCTTTTACATCTGAAGGACGTCGTTCAGTGATATATTAGTTATAACTTATGAGCTATACTAAGATCTATGCAACTTTTTAACAGTTCCAGCCTAAATTTGTTTCGTTTCTGTTTTGCATTTCTTTTTATTCGTTCTTTCTGCCCCCGAGTGGTAGTTGTGGCATGGGAGCAGGATTACAAGGCCACCAAAATTTTCAAAATTATGAAATCGATGTGAAGATGAATGGTTGGATTTCTATTAATTTGATATACAACGATTTAGCATCTTCAAGTATGTCCTCAGTTTGATGGTGAACTGAGGCGGTCTTGTGTCTTTTCTTTTTTTTTCCTTCTCTATAATGGCTTACGGAAAAGTTAGATAGTCTGGAAGTGTATTGACAAATGAGAAAAGAAGCATCTCCGCAAATGTATGCACTCATTTTCTTCTTTGGTATGGGTAAAATTTTCAAGGGTTAGAGTAAACTGGGGGCGTTGTTGGAAAATTGAGATGGAGATGAAAACTGGCTCCTGAGGCCATCAAAACGGCCAAAAAGATCCAACTTTGCTATCTTCAAACAAGAAAAAGAAGCTTCTGTTTCCCCCATCGAGAAGTAGGTGAGGGTATTTTAGGTGAATATCCGCACACTTTTACCTGCCATCCGAACTCCGAATTTACCTAATTATAATTATCCTGAAGGGGCATATTCCTTTGTGGATTCCTATCTGGACTTTATTACTCAAAAACGAATCTTTCATTTTTCCGAAGCAACGCGGGGTGCAAGAAATTATCCTAGGAGTGTTTTATTTCTTTTCCTTTTTGCAGCAGGAATGGCGATTATCATGATTTTACAGTCTAATATTTGTTTTGTTTATAAGTGTCAATCATAATCGAAGAGGAAAGGAAAGAAAAAACGAAGTTTGAACGTTGTAAGAAAATAGAAGGTAGGCATCTTCAAAAAAATCACTAACTTGTTTACATAATGAGATTATTGAGAGACAAGTAATACTGGTATAGCAAAAACAAATATAGCATAAACTTTTAAAAAATAAAAAATAACTTACAAAGATTGTGTAGCCGATTTATGCACATACCTCCAATGAGAATTATTACATCAAATATGCTTTGATCATCTTTTCTTTTGAACGAGACGGGTGACATACCATTGTTGCTCACATGTGCAGGATCATTTTCACTTGGATTCCAAATGAGTGATTTATATGCGCACTTAATTGCGTTAATTTTACTACAGCTGATGAGATTGTTCAACAGTTGTAGGGGGAGATTTTCGTATTGCATTGCAGAATAAAAGGAAATGGCTGCATCGTAATAATGTGGAAAAGCAAGGGCGAGTCATGGAACCCGGAAAGTAAAACTGGTTGCTGGGTTGGTTGTATCGCCTCACTTGCCCCTGTCCTATATAAACGCTGTTTTCAGAGTTGGGAGACT